ACTCTTCAAGGCCGTCCTTGCACCTCAATGAAACTCCTTGATTTCTCTAGCAGTCCACCTCCTCCTCGCCCCTCCAGGAGCCTCCTGCTCCCTTCCTGAGCTGGAGCCTCCTTCTCCTGGATGACTCATGAAGACTCTTGCTCCCTCACCGGAGCCATTGGTCCTCTCATGACCAAGTCCAGGGGTGCCTCCAGCCACTGACGTCATCTCCCATCACCGCCGGGCTGGGTCTCACGCAACTCAGAGTCGCCGGCGTCTCACTCGTACCCTCAGACTCGACTCACTCACTACACCAAGCCTCCAGCACCTCACTCCCAGGCTGAGACCTGACTCGCTCATGATCAAACCCACACAACCTCTCAGATGCCTCCCTCTCACGTTCTAGGCTGTGCACACGCAGTGTCCCTTTCCTGCGCCCGGACAGCACCGCTAACTAACTCCACCTCTCAATGGTGCTTTAACTCACTCTCACTTTCATTCGTAGCAGACTTACTCCTCAGCCCTGTTCTCACACTCAACAGGCTGCTCTCTCTTTAAATAATCACATCTTTCTCGCACATCATTGTCGGAGTGCCAAAAACGTTCACACTGTATTACTGCAACCTACTGTTTTTTTCTAACTGGTTAACTGCAGTAACTACTTATTTGCATAATTTTCAACTCTAATGCAACGTACTGAAATACAAAATATATTCAAATATATTCCCTCTGGAATTCCCTTTTCACTCAGATCTTTCTGGGTTTCCTTTGATGTTCTTCTCCACAGTCTGCTCCCAGGGTTTCTTTCACTGCCCCCACTAGTCTGCTCTCACATCTGGCAGACCTGCTCTTTGCTGTTGTTATGAGACACGGCCTCAGCCTGCATGTGTTCTGAAGCCTTTTGTCAGGACCCCATCCGGAGAAGATTGAGAAAACACGGGGAAAACGGCAAGGATAGGGGCTGGAAGAAAAACAGGGGGCGTGTCCAAGGGACGCTGGTGTTCGGGGGGGGTGAGTCCGAGGCAAACAAGTCCAAGGGAGTCCGTAAGAATATCCAGAGTGAAGCCAAAGTCCAGAGCCGGGTGATCCATCCTGACAAAGACAAAAAAAGAGTTAAGAGCTGGAGCAGGATCCGGCATAGGGTTGGGGGAATAAAAGGAGGAGGGGGGTAACGAGACCAGATCCTCCCAGTCCCGGACCCAGATGGTCAGGACGCCGTTGTGAAGCCTGTACCACTCCTGGACTAGGCGGGCATCCGGGCGTCCATCTCCCAAAGCTGAGCCCAGATTGGCAGGAAGGTCTGGTTTTTATAGAGCAAGAGGCAGGTGCAGGAGATAAACACTAAACAAGGGAGGGCTGGAGCATCAAGAGGAGGGGGTTTACGATCGTGACAGCATGTTAACGGCAGACCTGACCTCCACTAACTCTGATCTGACTTCCTGGCCTGAACTCTCCCAGGGAAGTTTTCAGCCTGGCCTTGTAATCATACCTCCATCTGAACCTCCTTAGTTTCCAAACGCTCTTCAGCTGTGGTCGCATAGTAACACCTAGTTCTCTGTCATTCCTATGGCTCCATAGCTCCTCCTCTGTGCCAAACACACCCTGTATGACACCACCAGTGCTTCATACCGAAAGAGCAGAACTTTCAAGCAAATTCCAAAACATTTCATTTTCACATGTGGAAGGTAACATTTCTTTTGCAATTTTGGTAGATTGACTAGGTTCATGTGGAACAAAAATTCTATGGACACATTTGCACAGAAGGGTGGTGTTTTGGATGTGTCTGGTCACCTGGAACAAGCTAGCATCATTTCTAAGATCACTGAAAGTGCAATTCAAAATTAAGGAGAGCTTGCAGTCCCATGGTTAGATCTTGCCAATACCTACTGTGCGGCTTGACTCTGAGTAGGCTGTGCCACATGTACTGGAAGGAATGAGCAAGGATTATGTGGTACACTTTACTGTAATATTATTCATCTTTAATCCTAGTAATACAGCCACTTGCGTAGTTTTATGCACCCTCCTATAACTGCAAAAAAAAAACAAACAGGAGTTGATGGATTTGGGGGTTCAGTTCTTCCGTTTTTATCTTAATATGTTGCTCCCCCATTAAAAACTACAGGCACCCCCAGGTACAGCCTTGGATATCAGCTATCAGCAGTTATACACCCTGACAAAGGGGGTGGTTGTACTGTATGTGTGCGAGATGGAGCATGTATCACATAGAACAGGAAGCAAATTCCTTTAATGAAAAATCTGTAAAACGAATGCAGGTTTAATAAGACTTTAGAGATGTGTCCTTTACAGAAATTTAACATTTTGCAAAATGCTAGAAATATGATGTGCATGTGCATAAATATGCATGCTCACATCATTCAATACAATTTAACATTGTCCCTGCAGTTGTGACCATATTCATTTCATCTGCTTAGCCACTAGAGGGAGTGGGGCCACCATCACTTCTGGGTACAGCAGACTTACATGTAGAGAATTAGGTAACTGGCGAAGGGTGAAAGTCGCATTTTCACCCCGGTTTCTTTTAGCCTAGCCACCATGAAAGTGATTCATGGTGATGATTGGTGTTGGGTCATCAGAGGAGAGGTTTTATTTTTCTGTTAAGTCCAGAACGTTATTAAAATAGTATTTTTTACCATTGTAGTTTGTCCATATGCTTAGGCTTCATGAGCTGCCTGAGGAGAGCTAGGCCGGTCATAGGTATATAGCTCATAATATGTTTTGGGGAACAATGCTTTGAATTAAACTAGAAATATGCACATATTTGTATATTTAGCACAAGTTATTTTCTTGTCTAAACCATGCTACATTTAATATTGGTAAACTCACTTAGACCCTCCTTACTGATTTTCAACTACTTCTAGTATCCTGTTATTGACATACACAGAGTATGGTGAGTCCAGTCTCCTTTAAGACTCATTTCACACCACAAGATCATGTCAACCTTACTGCCTCTGTAGAGAACAAGAAAATTGACTGATGTGTGATTGTGTCCAAAGTGAACTTTATCACATAAACCAATACACTTGTACACAAATGTACTAGATTATACAAAACAGCTGTAGTTTTAATTTGAGAAATAATACTATATATTGCCAGATATTGAAATGTACATTGTACAATGTGCAATGCTCTCCAAATGTTTTGGGACGGTGAAGTCAAAATTGGGATTTTCAGTATGAACTCTAATCATTTCTTATGAAAAAGAAAACAAAACCGTCCTTGTTTCATCAAATCACTTCTGCCCATTGGGTCATTTAAATTAACTGATCGTGCTGAACCTCATCTTGAAGGAGCGAACGTACAGAGGGGCGTGTAACTGACTTTTCAAAGTTTTCTTATCATTTTCTTAAGAAAAAGCATCAAATCATAACATACTATAGAAAGACAAACCTGAATTCTCGATGCACCACTCAAACTGTAGTTTATCATAGGTAATGAGGACACGGTGCATCGCTGCACCAATTCTCACTATGCAGAAAATCAATTTCCTGCCTCCGATATGAAACCGATTTACATGAAACAGGAAGTATCCTGTGAATTCTGAGCGTCAGTATACAGGCTGCCTATGCCTGTAGGACAGGAAAATGAGATCATGTCAGCAGAGGGCAAGAAAGAGGTGAGAGGATATGATATCAAAACTACACAGAGCACTTGCTCTCCTTCCACCCCCCCTTCCTCCCACTGTGTGCAAATTGTGTTCAGATTCTCAGGGACAGTCCATACTTTTCACTAGAGGTCCCAGCTGCATTGTTATTACACTGTGAGCCCCTTTTTAACATGATTTTAGTCCGGTGCTTATGGTACTTAAGGTAGCATCTTGTAACGGCATATCCTATTGTCATTGTAATTGAAGTTTGTCTTAGTTTGTTATAGTCTTAGTTTTGTAAGTGTATGATTTTACTTCTGTTACCTCTACAGAATGTCTACTGCTTTGCGTTGCATCCTGGTGAACAGACGGGATACTTGAAGATACCGTGGCATTCGTTGCACCCAAAAAACACTGATGGGTGATGAGAGTGGCGCACAAGGAGGAGGGTGATTTGGATTTTCATTCTCCTCTCCAGTTTCAGTCCGCTTGTCCTGGTTGGGGTTGAAGATATTTTTCCAGGTTTTGGCAGTTTCAGGTACCAGTACAGGGAACCACAGCTGTCCTACAGAAAAGCTGTAGCGAATCCCAGAACATCTAAGTGCAGACGGCGAGTGAAAATAGCTCGTTGTGCTTTCAGAGGCTTTGTGTCTTTCAGTCGAAGCTGCAGTAGAAGCCTGTGTTTGGTCCGAGTGACCTTTCGAGAGGCACTGCTCTTTCTTCTTCTCATCTTCACTAAGTCTTAAGTGTTCGTGGTTTCCATTGTGTTACATATCAGCGTTCTGCATCTGTGACTGAAACTGAAAGTTATTTAATCTCTGTAGCAATGGCAAAGCTCTTTTCACAAAGTGCAATGAAATGCTCTAAATAACACCTTAGGACTATACTTGACCATGGAGCAATTGGGGTGGTTTGTTGAGCTGTGCATTGATACCAGGTTTACTCAAGGTACTGTATATGATCCCATGTCTCCCAGACAATTCCTGGGAAGTGAACTCACAATAATGGTGAATTTTGTATACTGTGAAAATGGTTATGCTCCATTTTCATGAAAAGTACTACACAGGTACACCTTTCGATCAGAACGCATGTTGCTGTACATGTCTGAATACAGCACCAGTGGTCAGAATGTGCCTGAGTGTGAACAGAATGTCACTGTACAGATTGTGTCTGTGTACCAGTAGTCAAACTGTGTACAGTCTAGTGTACAGACTAGCGTTGCTACCTAGACTGTACTGGGTATTTCAGTAAATCACAGAGCTCCGAGCAACCAATGTACCAAAATATTCTTCAGAATAAAACTGCTGAAGTGAAACAGAGATGGGAGGGATAGTTTATAGAGAAGCACACAGAAATGAAGCCACTCCCCTCCTTCAACCACCCTTTTCTCCCTTCCTGTCTGTTTAGTTACTGTGGGCCAGTATGTGTATGTTAGGTATTGTCTCCATGAGCCTCAACCAGTCAGTCGGAAGGAGTTATCGCTGATTCAGCTCTTGAGTCAATCAATTAGTAACTCAGTCTCCTCGATGGCTGAAGATGTGTGTTATTCTACTGTAATTTTCTCTCATAGATCCCCTTCTGGAGCAGAAGGTGAGTATTTGCCTCTCTTGCAAATGCCGTTTGGTCAAAAAATACAAATTGGAAGAAATCATTTGAAGTATTTTTATTAAGGGTTATCACTTGTAATGCCTTCTGGAATGCTGAACAAAAAGCCCTGTTACTCTATTAACGTACAGTCCTCTAAAAAACTAGAGGGATTCCCGCTGGCTTAGATCTTCAGTGTTTCATTGATCTTGTGCAGGCAATTTCAGGGAAAAGAATCACAGATTAAGTACAGTGTTAATTGTTCAGGTGGGTAGCTGCGTCAGCATGCGTAGGCTGCAAAGGAACACGTAATAGGTTTATTCCATGCTGAAAAAAAGAAAAAAGAGAAAACAACGTTTCGGCCGTGGAGCCTTCTTCAGGTGTCAACAGTGTTAATTGTGTTTGCTCCGGTGAAACAGAACCCTGCTTTCACAAAGGATAAACTGTCTAAAAGGCTTCTTGGATTCTAAGTTGATCCAGAAATAGTGCACACCGTTTTCAGAACTGGTAGATTTGAGGAATTTGAATGGCTGAATAAAATCCATTTGGGAGATTCCCCGGTGGACAGTCAAGGAGTTAATTTCTTTATAACGTTCTACGTGCGACGTTTCTGTTGAACTTCATCCGTTCTGGTTGCCCTTTTTTGGAAGTCTTCTGTGGGCCTTTTCTGCAATGCTGTCTGCTGACATGCAGACATGGATAGATTAGAATGATTCAATTTCCCCCTGTACGGCTGAGCTTTTTAGATGATTAATTCCCACTTCGGTCTCAAAGAGACAGTCAGCATAATCATCCAATGCTTCTTCTTCAAGTTCATCCTGCAATCTCTAATTATTAATTCATGTTTCCTCCTTGTAATAAACTACAGATTGATTCACATAATGCAATGAAGAGGAATGCTCACACCTATCTCACCATCTCCATTAAACACAGCATAGACACAAGTTTTTTTTTTTTCCGCTCATATTGGGCTGTTTTCTCAGACCAGATGTAGCCGATGTTCTCTGGTTGTTAATGTTGCTGCAGTAACTGTAACCACAGATGGATGGCTGACAAATCTGGGGATTTCCAGTAAACACCCTCTTGTAGAAACAGTGCAAAACAAATAATGAACAACATATGCATGGATATATTTTTTTTAATGAAAGTTTTTCCCTTCCATCTCAATCAACCAGTCCACTAAGGATTAAGGATTGGCTACAATTGAACGTTTGATCCCAGGATCTGATCCAGTTGTTTAGAGAAAGAAAACAATATCGACTTCAACTGCATCGCTGTGTAGCTTGTTCCATAGTTTCACTACTCTTTGGCTCCTTCAGATGAAGTACTTTGATGAGACATCACTATGCTTTTCAGAGCAGTAATTTTGTATGTTTCATGATTTTTCATGATTTCATTGTGCGATAAAAGTGTAAAGCCAGCATCAGTGCCAATAACACAATAACTTACATGGAACACAAAAGTATAGTAACACAACAGAACATGGAAGTACATTAACCCCTACCTCTCTCTCTCAGTGAAACGGGACGATGTGATCTACGCAGAGGTGAACACAACAGGGACTCTCTCAACCGAGAGAGGGACCCCTACTGGCGCAGGTCAGTCCCAATCTGTGTTTTACAGTTACTGTAGTGCAATTCTATGACTGTCAAGAAGAACACCACAATATCAACACTGTTTATCAACAGCTTGTACTGTGTACAAACTGGTTCAAAGATTATTTGTATGATCAGTAGCATTGAGTGTAACAGTCCAGTGTGTTTGTTTTTCTTTTCCTACTAGTGTCCGTGTCCACACTGAGAGCTGATCCCAACACCACTCTCTACAGACTGGCCACAGTGTGCCTGGGGCTGCTGTGTGCAGTCTTACTGACCATCATCATAGCCCTGAGTGTGAACTGTGAGTAAAGCATGATGTTACAATGCATGTGTGCGGTCAGGTATACAGACTTGCAAACATACATGCTAGCCTGTCTGCTGTGATTATAAAACACTGTTAGAATCTCTTTGACTTTCAGTTTTGTGACGGATTACTGTCATAATGTTTAAATGATTATGTCATAGTTGAACAGGCTAAGATTTTAAACTCTTCCTGTTTCGATTAGTGCCATTCACAGCAAAGATACACGAGCAAAAGTCTTAAATATTTAATTATTGTTGTGCCACCCATTGCCTAAAACTACACAGCAAATGCCCCTTCCAGTATGCCCCTTGGAGGTCTAGTCTGAAAATCAATGCAATAATTCCCCAAGACTGAATTAATTGGGGCAGGGTCCTGCTGAGAATAGCACAGATGTGTAGTGACTGGACAGGTCATTCACAAGCTATGATGTTTGCGTGTTTGCTGACATATTGGATGGTGATCTTAAGCAGCTCTCTCACTTCTAGTCAGTACAACCAAGAAGGACTGCAGCCAATACTTATCATCTGTCCAAATAACACAATGCTTTCACAGACAGTGGTGCCCACCCAGGACACTAGAAAAAAGTGGAAAGGGAGGCATCAGAGCTCTGTGCTTTGGTAAACTATGTGATTTATACTGTATCTTCTCTCCACAGACACTGGTGTCACTGAAAGCCTATCTCAGGCTAACTCCAGGATGAAGAATGAGCTGGACTGGCTTAAAGAGAACTACAGCAGCCTTATAGCAGCCAGTCAGGTGTTATGGACCAACTACAGCATTCTGGCTGCAGTAAATGACAAATTACAGAATGAAAAAGCCGAGCTGCAGAGAAACACAAGTGGACTCCAGAGCATTATAGAAAGGTTTCAGATGGAAAATGACAGCCTCCAGACAAAAATTAAAATACTTAACAGGCATGTCACTGAAATCTATAAGACATTCCCCAGTCTAGAAAAATATTGCTCATTTAAAGATGTGGAGTCAGAGGGTGAGCCAATCTGCATTAAAAAAAGGTTTTGCATTTGCTGCTCAGTGGCTGGTCCATCTGTGCATTGTGATAACAGAAGTGTTTCTGTGTTTCATGTGTAGAGTGGGTCTGTAACCCATGTCCCCGGGGCTGGGTGTTCTTCAGCTGCAAGTGTTATTACTTCTCTATTGATGAAAAAAACTGGAAGGACAGTCACACTGCCTGCAAGAAACAGGGAGCTGATCTGGTTATTATAAACAACAGAGAGGAGCAGGTACAGTATGTGAAGGGTAAAATCAATCCACATTATCTCCAAGTTAAAGTATAGCCCTTCCAGTCCTCCCAAACCATGTAAAATAAGAACGTCTAGGTGAATTAACTTCTTCATACTTCAGCAAGAAACTAAGTATCCCTTTGTCTTTGTTGTATGTGTGTGATGGGTTGTCTTTGCTTTCTGTAGGGGGGCAGATTATTAACGCACACAGAAATTACAGAAATATAATTCTGTGTCTTGTGCTCAGGAATTCATCTGGAGGCAAACTAAAGGAAACAAAAATAAGTGGATTGGGCTGACTGATGCATCTATGGAAGGGATCTGGATGTGGGTAGATGGCAGTAGATTGACTACAGGGTAAGAAATATGGAACAGCCTGGTAAACTCCTAGACTCTCTCTCAGTGGACTGTATACAGTATATACACACACTGAACATGCAGTAACACAGTGAGAGTGAAATACAGTTACTGTACAAAGTGAGAGAGTAGTCCAGTACTGACCTACACCCTGACTGAACACACTGTATATACTCACACACTGCCCACACAATTACAGAGTGAGAGAGGAGTCCAGTACTGACCTACACCCTGACTGAACACACTGTATACTGTATACTCACACACTGACCACACAGTTACAGAGAGGGAGATGGAATAAGGGACAATGTACTTCAGATTGGTTAGCAAGATAATGCTAATGTTTGCTGTGATAATGTGATCTGTCACAGCAAACACTAGACACTGAGTAGGTGAGAGCACTCAGTGCTGATTCTGAAAGATGGGGGGCAGCATTGTCACAAGTTGTGACAATTAAAGGGGCTAGCGGTGTTTGTGCTGAGATGAAAATTATATTTTTTAGGTACTGGGACGATAATCAGCCCAATAATCAGAATGGAATCCAGGACTGTGTGGTGGCTGATCCAAAATCCCATTCCTTTCAAAACTGGAATGACCTGGACTGCAATTCTTCCTGGCAGAGAATCTGTGAAACACAGGCTGTGTTTAGGTAGTGCTGCTACCTGAATAATTGTACAGACATAGAATAGAAGATTCACACTGTAACACTGCTGGTAGCTCTTTGAATAATAAAAAAGGTTGTGATAATCAGTTTGCCATTTTCCTTTATTGCTTTAATTTAGATTTCACACTCCACAACAGTGAGTTAGTGTAGTGTTCAATATGGGCATTGTAACATAGTATAAGCATACAGTAGATGAAGCAGACGTGTTTCAAGCACTAGAAGCAGTTTAAGTCCTGCACTGACAGGAAGGTAGGAAAACAAAGGAAGACCACGAAAGACCACGAAAGGAGCCGATACACATATTTAAAGAGAAAGTCATCCCAGCAGACTTCTTCAGAATAAACACAAACCAGAGGACACAAGGGAAAACTGTGTAAAAGTACATTTAGAACTGAGAAAATGAGGCACTTCTTTACACAAAGTATTGTGCGATGTGCAACAAGCTACCCACCCATATTGAAGCCACTACCTTGGTTTCAAATACCAGCTGGATGAGATTCTCAGATCAATCAGCTACTTACTGCCATACTGGCTAGATGGGTGTTATGGCGTCCTGTTTTTGTGACTCTTCTCGTGTTCTTATGCCAGTTCTGCAAACAAAACTCAAACAAAAACAATCCTTTTGTTAGATCCAGTCTAAGTGTAAGAATAACTAACTGGGGGAATAAGTGTCTTTTTCTAAACTAAAACTAAAGACAGCTAAAAGAGTATAACATAAAGCAGAAGCAGAAAGCCACAGACTACCTACATATGTCCTGTTGATTGTAAGTAAGCTATTTCAGGCATATGTTGTTTAGAACCATTTACATCCGGCTGCAAACCAGCTGTGGTAGAATGCAGGAGGCACAAAGTTTCGAAATCCTGGACACAGTACTCCCACTGAAGCTCTGGCATGTCAGTTCTACAAGCCTGACACCATCAGAACAGAATTAGGGGAGCTTGGCGCCGATGATGTTTCTAGTCTTGGACAATGGCAGAAACATAGTTCAAGTGTCCCTGCAGTACTCCCAAGGAAAAGTAAAAAAATGTTGTTTTTTTTTCCACTCTTTGAAATGGTTAAGTTCTTTGCAAATTCCATATTGTTTCCTATTGTTTTCCTTTCCACAGCAAGCATGGGTTTCGGGGATCCCTGCTCATCCCAGAAAGCGACTGCATGGTGGAAGCAACAATGCTTGCTCGAGTGCAGGCACTTCTGACTGTTTCTCCACGTTGCTTTGTGATCTCTGGCTGTGAGCTCAAGTTTCTGCCTGTGGTTTTCACACGTCTCAGGAGGTGTTTGATCTTGTGCCTTTGATATTTGCAGAGAGACTCTTCTGAATGTTGGCTGTGGTTACTGGGAATCGAGTGGTGGTCTCTGTAGCAACGCAGAAGCTCATTGGGTATACAGTACGATATTTCCGCCAAATGCATGCAAAATTCACAGCGCGAACGTGTCGCTTTCCGACACAAAGTCATTTCCTGGCTCACCTACTGTACGCTACACGAGCTGAATCTGAATCTTTCCTTCGCAGCCCTTGCTCACTTGGTGCACTGTTCTGAGAAGTTGCAGCCAATCAGAGCTCAGAAATGCCTTCGGGGATGGGAGGGGGGTGTCACATGACTTGGTCACCGATGGAAACAAATGCACAGGCTGGCTCTCTGAGAATTAAAAACATACAAAGATTGTAGCTTGAAAGCAAGCAGGAAATATGTCTGCATCTATACAGACCCCCAGTGTGTGAGCACGTGGGCATGCTCGTTTACTCTATAACTACGCATCCTGCGCTGTTTTACAGAACAAAGGAATGGCGAGGCCTGTGGGTGTAAATGTTCCTATGATTGTTGTATGATGTCAGGAAACAGATAGAAAGTTATAGTGAAAAAGAGAGGTTTTGTGCCCTTCTCAATAATATAAACTGCAAATAGGTGTCCATCCAGCTCAGCAAGTTTGAAGAGTTAGAATGTGATTTTAGTGGCCTTTATAGGTAAATAATGTAAGTGTACATAGAAATTTATAACCATTTAACCCAGGAGCATGGACTAAGAAACAGCTGAGCCACCTGACAGGCTCAGCTGCTTCATTAAAACGTACAGCAAAAAACAACCTGATACAGAAACAAATAGACAAAGGTTGTCAATACTTTGAAAATAGAGGCCAGTGTTTCAAAATCCCGGAGTATTTCTCACTTTCTCAATGAAAAAACAAACCTTAAGCCTCCCACAGCTGACAGCTGTACATCTCTAAGTTATAGTGCTTCTTCAGAGCTGAATATAGAAACCAGGGGGAGGACCTGGTGATTATGAATAGCAGAGAGGAGCAGATAGGAGACCATGTGATTTGACACTACTGCACCTGAGGTGGTAGCAGGGAGATGTCTTCCTGTGTCAGTTTCAAACCACAACACTTCCATCTGTGCTCTGGCTCTTTTATTGTGCCATCTTAGAGCTGCCTTATTGGCTATACACCCTAGATAGACCTGATTCAAAAAAGATTTTAAGGCATTTAGACCTACCAGCAAACAGGACAGATGCCCTTCCTCTCTCTTATAACCTCTGTTATGTTCTTTGAAGGAAATAAATAAAAAAATAAGAGCATGGAATGAATTCAGATTCACGCACTTGAGACCTACCTCTTTCTGGATAACAGAAAGTAGATAGGGCTAGCCAGAAGGAATGACTGTAAAGGAGCAGAATGTGAGGAGTGCAAGACTATGCAATGGGCTTGAGACTTGGGTGGTCAGGGGAGTGAACGGCTCTTCATCGTTCTGATCCTCAATCCTAAGGGACACAGATGGCTCCAGTGATCAGTGGCACTGAGGTCACATGAGCTGTATTCCAGGAAAAATAGTTTTCTTTGTTAAAGTAACAGGCTGAATGACTCTCTTCTGGTTGAGATCCTACTGCTGTGACTTAAGAACAGGGAAGACAACAGTTACAATCAACACTGTATGCAGGGTTTCTCAAGGCATTTCCCCAGACAATTGGAATGACTTGCTATGATACCAAACTAAGGGGCTGAGATGGCTTTACACTGTCTCTCTCTCCTTTGTCACCCTTTGTGTCCACTGCAGGTGGTTAATAGTAGATAGGCCCTGTATTAAGGTAAGACCTTTCTGATGAAACATCATTGTGGCAGGCCAGTAGTAAAGAGAATATTAGTTTCCGTTGACCTGTCACTAGAGAGCATTAAGGCCTGTATTGATTGTAAATAGGTTCACATGCGGTGTATTAATTGAGTAATTATTTAATTGGTAAAGGATTGAGATACAAATTCTCACATGGGCTTAGGTTAGACTAGTTTGGTATATAAAGGGATTTATGGGGGTAGCTGGTGTTGGGTTTGTTTGTAATTGGTGTTTGTGGAGTGTGAGCATTGCATTTGGCTGAAAGCAATATCCTTGTGCAGTGTTTTGTGGTCCAACATGCTTGTCCAGGTACTCAGGCCTCAAAAGCTGCCTGTTGGAAGGTAGGCCTTTCATGTACATTTTTTTTCAACCTTACTGTCTAAATCTGAACTGTTGTAGTCAATGGGTCAACACCTGCTCTGTTTCAGCTGATGCTTTGGATTCTTGTAAAATCCAAAAGTACTTCACTTTCAGCTGAGTGAGGGGTTTGCTACTGTCTTTTCTATAAAGATGGAACACCCTTGTCCATAAACAGGCTTGATCATTTGCATGTGCACTCCTGCATCAGTAACTTTAGCCATACAATTACTTCAATCCCCCTTAACAAGAGTAAAGCCTGTTCTTTGTGTGAGCATGATTATAACCAATTAAAAGCATGCACTTGCAGAAAGGCTGATGGGCTTTAGTTTCTTAACAGTGGTGGGCCATGACTTCAGACTAGCTTCCTCAAATTAATTCTGTTATTAGCTGGAACACTAATTGCAACAGATGCAAGGAAGTCATTCTAACTTGCTTATTTAACTTATTGAGCTGTTTGCTTATTTGCTCCTTTCTGTTCCTTTGCCTTTTTAGTTTCAGAGCACCCTTGCTATAGGTGTTGCTACTAAGAAAATGAGCAGGTAGAGCTCTAAGCCTCTCCCCAATTTACATATGTGGTCTCTTGATCCCTTCTCTAAATGGCTTTTTACAGGCAATCCTTTAGTGGTGAGATGCTCCCATTATGAGTATTTGCTGTTCTGCATGGTTGGTTTTATGTATATTGATACTACCTAATGTATATCATTACTACCTGGTGGACTACCTGTACCCCCTTCAGAGGAGGGAAAGGAGATCTCCAATGATGTTGCTGCTAGTTGTGCTGGTGGACTAGTAGGTGTCCTTCACTCTAGTATAAGGACTGCAGAATGTCTAGATGAACTTCCTGGGCTGTACCTTCATGTCTCATTAATATGAAAATACCTAGATAAGCTAAGCATTAGATTGCTGACATGATGCCCAGTTTGCCAATACAAAAGTGTCCAGATGAGGATCTTGAAATGCAGAGTAGGGTTTTCCATATTACCATTAAACAGCTGTACTGTGGGGATGAGGCATGTTTTAGCAAAGGCAAAATACAGAGCTCTTGGCTCCAGAAGACCAAGAAAAAATCATTTGGAGAATGTGTTCCTTGTTTGTTCTCTAGGATGTGATCACAGCACGGAAGGCCTTGGAGGATTAGAAATCCTGCTCAAGTGCACTAAGTGGAAGTGAATAAGCAGAACTCTGAGCTCTAGTGCTTTCAAATGACAGAGCAGCAAAATGAGCTGCATGGTAGAAAACCTAAATGAGACCCAACAAAGAAGGCTTGTGAACATGAGAAAAGGAAAACCCAGAGCATGGAGAATTGCACCCCTCCCAGGGAAATCCCAAGGTGTTGCCCAGACAATTTTATTACAGCGCTGACTGCACCTTGATCTGTGAGTGAGGAGCAGGTAGTGGTGAACCAGTCCTAATAGTAACAGGAGACAATGGACCGGGTTCATTTACCCTGGCAGTTTTAGAGCTCATTCTCAGAGCCTGTACTCCTAAGCTCAGTGAGTTACGAGTTTTAACTGCTCACCTGTGATAAAAATGCACCGGCAACCTTCACAGCCAATGCAAGTCATGTACTGTAGCTGCTGACTCTCTGGAAAGGGTTGTATTCAGGTAATCAGCTTAAAAAAAACACCATTGAAGTCACACCAGAGACTCCAGTCCACTACAATTAGTGTGGGAAATGTTGTATTTAAGCAACTTACTGTATGATCTACCATTCAGAGTTGAGCAACTTTAAAAACCTGTAATCTTATTCACATGAGAGGCCATTCCAAAAAGATAGGGCTGCTCTCAGATCTGCCTAGAGAAGGGCAGCCTGGTATGGTCATGGGTTCAAAACAAGGTACTGCTGTGACAGCTTAATAGCCTGGATCTTTTCAGTCTTGAACATGGAAGACTGTAAAGGAACCTGATTCAATGTTCAAAAGCCTCAAAGATCAACACAATATGGTGTAGGGAAAATAATCACCTTACTCCCTTTGGTGTGACTTGAAATAAGGTCCAAGAAAAAAAAAACTATTATTTTAATGAAACTGGGGAAAAAACTTCATTTAAATAGTAATGTGTAATAAATACTACCTTACTCCATTTACTAGAATGTGTTGGTTCCTACATTTTTGTGCTGGTAGCATAATTATGTGCTGCTGTTCATCCAAATTTCTATGCAGTAAATATCCTTTGTGTTTTTTTTAAGTCTCCAAACAAAGGCAGGAATAGCTCACAGGGGAAATGATGCGAACAAATATACAGGATGTGAGCTGTTGTTCCTCATCCCTCCTTTGCATCGCTGCTCACAGTGCTGTGCAGTCAGGCAGTGTCTCAGTCGGCGGACCAGCCCCCCTAGTCAGGCGACTCGTCAGTGGGTCAGAATACTGCTGTGATAGAGCAGTGTTTCAAAAGGTGCATTATCGGTCTGGGCTCCGATCAGTCCCTGTCAACTTTCTCCATGTCTGACGAACTGCAGTGTGTTACCTTGAAGCCTTCCCTGGAATCTGGATCTGGAGGTGAGTTGCTCTCTTATGCTGAGCAGTTGGGGGTCTTTAGATTTCAAATAAAGATCTCAACCTATTGACTCAATGTAAGGTGGCTCTGAGCTGTACACTGAACATGTTGTGCTGTTTAAGGTACACAAGGTGTTCTCATTCCTTAACATGCTAATCCCTGAGGTTGTTTCCACCAGGACATTTCAGGAATCTGAGTAATTACTTTCCGTGTCCATTTCAACTGCAGTGATCCCAATTCCTTTACACACAGCAGGGGGACTCATCTCCTCCACCTCTGATCTGCAGCCCCTGGTCGGGTGATGCCATTCTGCACACAAGTGCAAGTATGGGGTAGGTCAGGAGTAGGGAAAACCTGCCCTAAATGCAGCTGGTGAAGCAAAACGTATGGAGGGTGATTGCAGAAGAAAAGAGTGGGCATTTAGAGAGGACATCGCAGTGAGCACTCCACCTCTTTCAAAAAAAGTGCTATTGGCTGTGTTTAATGACCAGGTAGTCAAGATCTCAAAACTTTCAATCTGAAGAAGTACTTTCTACAGCCCAGTATTACTGGTCATCCACAGTGGGGCTTTGGGTTGGAATTCTGGCCCAAACTGGTAAGTGAGCCATCTGTTGGTCCATCAAAACCTAAATGTATGGTAGAAATTGGATTACCATGCTTGAAATGACCAGGATAAGCTTTGCTAAGCTTCTAACATCTGGTGAAATCAGGTTGCAAGTAAAACTGCTGTCAACATACTGAGTATGCCGGAATGCCATATGTACTGTATATACACACACACACCCAGTACTTAGTTGGCTTATTTAATTCCTCGTATTGTCTGGCTTTCTCAAGAAAGATGGGGAGTAGGCTTGTGGTTTAGTGTTGCAACAGTGCTTGCAAAACCTGAGTCAAAAATGGATAAACAGAAAAAGGCTCATCTGGATTTGAAATATGAGATTTGCAAGGTGAAAATATTATTGAAATAATGGCAGAGTGTAAAAGCATGGAAGATGCAATCAAAGAATTTTGAGAAGTAGTGGTGTTCCAGTAATGCATCATGAACTTGTGTGTGTGTGTGGTTACTGTATAGTTTTTATCCATGGTCAATAGGATGAAATTTGGGATAGGACCTGGGAGATTCTACACCCTGTGTATTCTTCTTGGTATAAACAAAATGGTGTAATGAGATGGTATCCTTATGTATAATCACAGCAGGTAAGTCAGTGTGATTCTTGCTGCAAGAACTATAGATTATGGACAGTAGATCTGGGCTGACATTCAGGGAGTATTACTAATCAAATATCTACTCCAAACAGTCTGAAACTTTGCAGCTAGACTGCTTTACAATAGCTTTCTCACACAGCTTATACTGCTTAGGAAGATTATTGCTCTTGGTTATGAGCAACCTACTGCCACCTTTTACAGGTGATAAGATCCTGGAATTATCCTGCCAGTTAAGATGTTCCTGGAATAATTTATCAGGATAAAGCTCTTAAATGTCTCTACTTCCACTCCTTCAGACACATTGCTATATCTGGGAAGAGCTACTGTACCTAAGAGCAATCAGGGTCTGTCAGATGCTTTAAAGAAATTCCATGTAGTTCCAAGTACACTAATAGCACATCCTTAACTTTAGTGTATTGCAAAACCATTAACTTGGCGACTGATGCTCTGTCTGATTTTCTTTTCTCTTTTCCAGTCTACTTCATTTGTGCTTTCCCTATTGTGGGGTGATAATGCTTGTCCTATTGTTCCAAAGTGTATGTATTCACTGAGTGCAGGATGTGGTACTGAATTTGTAACCTTTAGTTTTTTTTTTGCACTAGTGCAGGTTCCTGCAGTGAAACCTGCATCCAGTCCTCCATACAGGTTGGCTGCAGTGTGTCTGGGATTGCTGTGTGCTGTCCTGATGATTGTCATCATAGCCCTGAGTATCTACTGTGAGTATAACACTGTCAGTCTGTGTGTGCATTTGTACACTTGTCTGAGTATATTGGTATTTTCTTTTTAATTCATTTTCACTGTTCACAAAACATGTTTGGAACAAACCCCCAGCAGCACTGATGTCCACAATTTGTTCTTCGATCCTGTAGCTGCTGAAAGATCACAGCCCAGCCTTATCACAGGATTAAATGGAGAATCGGGTGTAGTGAGGACACCATTGTAAGATCAGTGGAAAAGAGTCCATGTGTTCTCAGAGCAAAATTTGGCCAGGTGATGGCAAAGCTAATGTGACTTGGGTCACTGACCAATCACAGTGGTTCCTGCCCCTTACATCAATTCTCAGAGAATGGAAATCTACTGTAGGTCTTTGTTCTAGAGGTCAATTATCTAAAGAGGCCAACTTTATGGAACACCATGATGCTAGAAAATAGATTGACACTTGGTGTCATCTATACCTTACAAATACAACTTCTTCCCCCCCACAGTTGGCAGTATTGCCCATAGTGCCAGTGAGGACCACAGGAGCCAGATCCAGACTAATTCCCTGTTGAAGGAGGAACTGGATCAGCTCAAAGCGGATTACAGCACATTGATTGCAGCCAGTGACGAGTTGAAGAAGGAGTACAGCAACCAGACTGCAGCCAATAGGAACTTGAGCAGAGAGAAGATGCAGCTCTTCACTCAACTCTCGAAGAAATTCCCCATTTTGGATCTTTACTGTCCCATCAAACTGTCCGCTTCTCAGGGTGAGTGAAGGGATACTGGAGTTGTGGGTGCTCCTCAGTTGGACCTGTAAAGCAAAGAGGCGTGAATTGGTAATGCACTTCTTGGTGGGGAGACAGCTGTAATGATATGAGTTCTCTGTTCTTCCTGTCCAGAAAGAATCTGCAACCCCTGTCCTCAGGGCTGGAAGCGCTTCAAATCTAAGTGTTACTACTTCTCTACCGATGAAATGAGCTGGAACGAGAGTCTCTTTCAATGTCAATCCTTAGGAGCCAACCTGGCAATTATAAAGAACAAAGAGCAGCAGGTAAGAACCTATGGTGTTGCCCTGCAGTAACATGGAGATATAGGGCTCACTATAAGGGAAGTTATCCCCTCATTATTTGAGTAATAGTCCATGTCAAAAGGATGCAGCTTCTGATAAAGGTTTTTAAATCTCATCTCAAAACATTTTTTCATGTCCTTGAGTTCTTAACCAGTTTCTTTCATTTTGCTTTACGCACTTTTTGTATTTTTATTACCCAGTTTTGATTTTCTATCTAGTTTATGTAAAGTGTCTTGAAAATGCTTTGCTTGTGAGGGTACTGTGAGAGTAAAGATCCTTTTAGAGAAAAGGAGCATGAGGAGACTGAGCTGTGGGACACCCTTGGTCATGTGGCTGATCTTGGCCTCGGTGTGGCAAAGAAAGCTGGTGTAGTAGGTTTATTTGTAGAGAGGTCACTGGGGGGAGAATCCACTGCTTCCTTGTACTGTACAGCACAATGTAAACCAAGTAAAACATGCCTGTTTGTACAGGCAAAGTGGCAACCAAACCCTGCTTCCACAAACTCAAGTACGTGTCAATTAGCTTAATTTTACGTACTTTTCTGTAAAGTCGTTGAGATCCTATGGTGAAGTGTAACCGTCAGCTGCCAGCTTTGGGCTCTGATAGAAAACTCCATTGCCAAGGCCAGCTACTCAAGATGAAGTTACCTCAGTGACCGTGATGCCTGTGGTACTGCCATTTTTGAAGCCTTGATTTCCCAACCCCCCCCCCTTAACTTTTATAGTACTGTATGCCACAGCTGGCAGGTGAATACCATAAGGTGAAAGACTTGCTGTGCTTAAAATGGGGGTGGAGAATAAAGTATTAAAAAGCCCTTTTTTTCCTCAAAAGTGAAATACTTTGTAAAATAAGATCTCATACATGCTGCACTTTTACTTATAAATCTGTGTAAAATTCTGTAATGTTGCAAAGCCTTGCCAAAAAGACCACCATTACTTTTTCACTATTGCCCTGTGATTCCAGAGAAATTGCAGGTAAAACCATAATTTCTGTGCACTTGCGAAAAGGGGGTAAGGATGGACTAACCTGCTGTGAATCTTGTTGCCCTGATAAGCAAAACGGTCATTCAGTGACTTTTGACCATTTTGTGACTTAGTTGTGATTTTACACATTGCTGTGATACAACTTAAGGCAGAACACAGACTTTAGTCTGTGTGTCAATCAAGTGAAGTTCAAGACCATATCGCATTTCCCGGTTATCTGCTTGCATCCTAGAAATGTAGTAGTTACAGCCATGTAACATGAAACCGTTCTCTGGTACCTCACTGCCTGAAGCTCAACAGTATAACTAATTGTACCTTCATTCTATTTTGAAAGAAGTCCAGATGTAAGGAATACAAAACCATTTATTTTTTCCTTTGCTCTACTAGTTTGAGTTTTATCCAAAATAGACATTGGGGAGTAAGGCCCAGTTTTTTCCCCAGTGCTTTTTGTGCTATATTTTGAAAATTTCTTTCAAAGTGTATCAACATAAAAGTGTAGATGGATATTCCAGAATGAAGAGAACTGCAGGTGGATGTTGTCTAGAGATGGGACCGGTTGGAGTACTAGGAATGGGATATACTGATTCACCCTTCATAATTATGGAAATTGAGGCTCAGTTCCCCTCTAAATCACAAGGTGGCTCTGGGGGACAGTCTTTGCTCTGTAGCAGTTTCTGCTTCCTTGTTACAAATTCTTTTTTTTTCCCCCTTCTAACTGACTGTTGCAACACTTGCAAGTATGTGTTCAGTAATGTGCATATACAAGATCCCTTGGCCTGTTTCAAAATGACCCCGAGAACATTTGTAGCCTGTGGTTTTCATTTACTGCATCAATTGTGGGAAATACCCTTCCATTATCAACAGTGACACAGGAAGTACATTGTGGATCAAAGAACTCTAAAATGAGATTTCCCAGTTTCACTTCTCTCCACCACTTCATTGACCCTTCTATCTGGGTCCCTTTAACGGGATATCAAAGCTCGGACTAGAAAAACACCTAAAGCCAAGACTAGACTTAAACCTGGTTCCCACCCTGCCCCTTCTTTCAATGACCATCTAAAACATTTTTAAATCCTCTCCAGTCATTTCGGCTTTTCCCATTTCTCCCTTGACGCACTCTTTCTTTGGACACTTTCTCAGTTACTCTGGGACCTTTCTCATCTAGTCTATCCTTTTTTTTTCCTGTGCTTATCCCTACTTCCACACTCTCCCTCCTACCTGAAGAAGGTTCAGCAGCCAAATGGATTGGTTCCTTTGCAGCCAGTGAATGCTGATGCAGCTCCCTATTCCAATATCCTTCATTAATGCTGACTTTGTGCTTTGATCCGTTACAATGAAGACTCTCTTGATAGGCAGAGTTCTCAAGGAGTCTGGAGCAGTACCATCTGTCCAATAGGTGATTTAGCTTACTGACCAGTCACAAATTGTGTAGCTGTGGGTTGGGTGCTACTTTGTCAACAGATAATCTGAAGACATGAGGCATAAATGGTTGTTTGTTTTTTTTTGTTCAGAACTTCATTCGGAAACACACTGGTGGAAACTATTTTTGGATTGGACTGACGGATAATGCCAAAGAAGGCAACTGGCGTTGGGTGGATGGCTCTTCAGTGAATGAAACTGAAATGTAAGACTTGTCAAGCATATAGCAGTGATGTAATTAGGGAGGTGAGAAGGCTGGGTCTTTTGGGGAAGTCTGTCGGACACAGTTCAGTCCTACTCTTCACTCAGCTTCATTTATACTCTTACTGTATGTCTCTCAGGTGCATCTCTGTCCCTCCCTCCCTGCCTTATCCATTCTCTCCCTCACTGTGTGCCAGGTTCTGGGCGACTGGAGAACCAGACAATCAGTACAAGGAAGAAGGTGAACTCTCCAGCCCTGCGGACTGTGCAGTCAGTCTTCCATCTAAAAACCAGTGGACTGACTTGTACTGCGATTTTGTTGACATCCTGAGGGTGTGCGAGACAGATGCACTGAACCTGGCCACCGTGTAGCACCCCTTACCTTAATTACAGTACAGTATGTCACATCCTGTTAATGACTGTTTGGCCTTCATATGTCAGTATATAAAACGAATAGCATTGAAGTATTTATTTCTATCTGGTAATCACTCAATTGAAATTTAATTTGAAATATAACAATATGGATATGAACTCTACTAAAACTTGAAATACAAATCAAATTGTTCTATGAGCATCTCAGATTATAAATAATAGAGTAAGGTGACTGAGGTAAACAATGTGTCCAGTAGGAAAAAAAAATCCAACTTTATCTACTGTAGGAAAGTAACTTAGGGGCTATAGATCCCAAAACAAGAAGACAAGGGGGTCCTGACTAACAGGAGTTTGAACCCTCCTCTGCCCCTGTGCAAGGAATAGTCCGTCTCTGTTATTGTGAGTAAAGCAGTAGTAACTTAGTGAGATGTGTATTGTTGACTTGAGAGTAGTGTGCTCTAATAAAGGATGAATTTGAATTTTACTCAGTGAGTTGGAGTGAAATGGTGTTGTCTGTATATTTATACACATTAATAACAAGAGGTGCTGCTCTGCCTTTTTGTTAATTTCCTTGATTTCAGAATTTTTACTTGTGCCACCTGCAATACCACTATTCCTAACTGAATGAGAGCAGCAATTAGAACTTGGGTGCAGGCAAGCTGGCGTGAGGACAGTCAAACGCAAGCCTGAGTCAGTCGGAAACACAAGCTATGTTTGTAGCCAGGGAGACGTGAGGATGTAGTACACGGGGAAATCCACAAGCCACAATCCACATGGTGGAGTGATCAAAGCCCTGTTCATAAGCAGGAATAAGGCACAATGGCAAAGCCAAAGCAAGCAGGGTCAAAGTCCAAGACTAACAAAGCTAAGACACCAGGAGTAGAAGACAGAACCCTACGCCTGCATGCTGGCATGTTGTAAAATTAAACTCAGGCTATCTTGTACCACATGAGCTGGGTATGGTGGTTACCTTTCTGCAGGTGTAATAGATCTACCACATTGTGCAGTCAGAGTAACTGTCTGTTTGACAGGTCTAGGAGTAGCTCTGCTGGAGCTGTGCAAGCTCTTTCATGTCACCAGCAGAAGTAGTTTTGACACCACCTCACAATTAATCTACACCTTTGCATCTGCAGTTATGTTTTTAGGCACAGGTGCACAACTGAAGAAGACTAACTGAAGCTGAAACATTTTCTTATTCTTACTTAACCGGTTCTTGGTGTTCTTCTAAACAAATGTAGTCATACCGAATACACACTTGTGATGGGGGGGAAAAACAACTTCTAGCATATTGCCTCACAGGAATTAATGACGCACAGATACACACCAAGTCCGATGGGCGTTAACACTGCTGCACATCTGCACGTGCCTGAAAAAGACATCCAGCTAGGTTTGCACAATTCCTAACTTCCTGCGATGCAAGATTTCTGGCTCAAAAGAATACATTTTCCTGATACTCTTTAGAAGTGAGACACCATTGCTCCAGTGAGAGCATGCCGTACAGTATATGGAGCTGGATATAGAGTTCAGGTGAAGATGGACAGGGTGCCTACAGAAAGACGACAGTCTATGGGTTCTGAAAGGATATACTCTGGACTGGTCAACCCGGATGAAGATGTGTATGGTACTCTGGACAAGACCCCTCATAACCATCCAAGTGCACCACCAACACGTAAGTACTTGACGGACAGAAACTATATATGCCTGAACTAAGACTTAAGTTAATGACGCACGATCAATGGTGGGAGAGTCCTGTAAAAGGCAGGTTTATTTAGTCAGGGGATCACAGCTCTGGAGAAGCCTGCCCAGACCTGGGGAATGAGGGGTTCTCAAGCAGATGAAGGTTGTCCTAAAAAAACCCATATAGAATGGACTGAGTGAACCCACTGATTGGGATTTTGCATTCCAAAAAGAGCTTACAAGGTCACCTCAATTTTAATCTCTGTGACATGATTCATGTGTTTTAACAAGCTAAAGGATCAGAAAGTCTCGTTTCGGGAGATCCTGGGAAGATTTTGATTTGAAACCCTCCCCAGTGTTACTAAAGACAAATATATTCTGAAGTGGAAAAAATATTCAAGCGTTCTATGATGACCTTTCAATCAATTAACACAAACTGCCTAAAACATGACTTAAAATCGATGCATAATGTGACATTGTAAGAAAATCTCATTCTAAGGACTCTGAGCCATTCTGGTGCCTTCCAAGTCGAGAGCAGGTAAAGATTCTCACTCGGTCTGCAGGAATGTGGTTGTATTCAACCCTGAGGCTGATGGATGTGAGTTGGTCAATGTAATGTCATCTTGCTTGTGTGACCGTTGCGGTTCTGCGCAGGCTCGTGCCCTCCACGGCTCCACCCCGCCGGTTCGTCCCGCAACAGCCGGGGCGCGGAGCTGGGTCTCGGGTGTAACGCAACAGAGAACCAGCCGAGTGAGCTGAAGGAGACCTCCCTCAGCCCTGGCAGCTGAGATCCCTGCTACGCTGTAGGGAGGGCGATGACGTCACCGTGCCCAAACTAGCTCTGCTACACTTGCGGAGAGGAGATGAACATAGAGGCACAGGATACAGACTGGAACAATATATCAAGGGAGCCATTGAAATGAGGGAGAGAGAGCGTGTACACTCTTCAATGATTTAGTCCTCCCAATTTTGATTATGTTGACTGTTGTTCCACTAATGTCTCTGTCCACAGAGGAGACTAAGCCCAGCCCTTCTCCCTACAGACTGGCTACAGTGTGTCTGGGGCTTCTGTGGGCTGTCACACTGCCTGCCATCATAGCTCTGTGTGTCTACTGTGAGTATCATACTACACGCACAGTTTGTGTTGTCAAATGTGTGTGTCAGCATGTGTTTCAATGTCTTTTTACAGCATTAAGCTCCTCACGCCTTCTCCTGGAGAGCAATTTTGCAACAAGTTCCTCAGTAAATCAAGACAGCAAGGTCTGGGGAAGTGTTTTAAATTAGGGTAATTCAGGCTTAGTTTGACTGCTTTAATTTCCCTGGCATTGATTATTATTTGACGAAACCTAAAATGGCTAGACTATTCTGTGTATATAGGATACAGTTATACTGTAAACATATAGCTTATACAGTATATAGGACACAAATCTCTGGTAGCAGGCTTAGGAGTCCCTGTTTTAGCAATAGCACTAATGGGTATGCATACAGTTGCTGACACAGCTACCTACTTGAAATACATACAGTATGTTTGATATGCATATATGAGTGTGTGAAAAAAAAAGTTAACAGGTGTTGGAGTTTGAGAGTAAACGTTTCTTTGTAGACACAGACAGAAAAGCTAAAACAGACAGATTTAAACCACTGGGATGCCACCCTTTGACTGTTGCAATGAAGCAGTGAATTTACACCAGGTATTATAAGGGATTACAGCCTGAAGCCACAGAAAGTGGATGAGACAAGGTTTCAGGTTTACTCACTTGCTTTCTCAGGGACCTGCCCTGCTCAGTGGAGGTCTGGTCAGGTGATTGACCATGTAATGGTTAAAACTCTTTAGTATGGGGGAACAACTTATTTCACTGGTTGCTCAGGGATGGTGGTGTATATAGAATGGTCACTTTGTCCAAAAGCTATAAAGCAACCCAGTTCTCTGCATCAGCGCCCTTGTCCACTACACTGAAGTTCCCATGTCTTGTTCCCACAGACAGCAGAGGCTCCCAGAGTGGCAAAGAGGAACATATCATCCAGAGCGCAAACAACCCCCAGTTGATGAATGAACTACTTGAGGTCCGAGTAAACTACAGCACCCTAAGTGCTAAAAATTACAGGTTACAGAGGGACTACAGAAATCTTAAGGCTGAGAATACCATACTCCAGAAAGAGAAAAGAAGCCTACAGAATGAGAAAGATGGATATCAGAAAGAGAAAGCAGAGCTACAACGAGAGATCACTGGCCTCCAATCACAGATCACTGAAATGAGTGAGTATTTCCTGATGGATAGATATTTTGGGGGCTACAGCCCCACCGTTCATGGTGTGAGTCTTCTGAACTCCTGAGTTCTTGAGTTTGATCGTGATTTTAAGGAAACAAACCGGTCTGGGCAAGATTTGAGCTGTGCAATGGCCAGAAAGAGACCTGAAGCGATTCAGTTTCATCTACGTTATTTTGACAGGGCCTCTCCTACGTGGCTCAACCAGTAAAAGAGCTTGCCTGGGTAGTGGGTTTGAGCCTAGGTCATGGATCTAGCTGACGGATTGGGATTTCCCAAGCAATGGTAGGATGGGTTTATTGGACCGGGGCTCTCAAAAATCCAATCAAACTTTGATCTCTGTGATGAGTGAACAACCTCTCCTCCAATCAGCACTGATCCTGTGGTACCGGGCTGTAGTTGCCATCATGTGTTAAAAGACTTGAAGCTGGGTGAGCGGCAGAGTCTGCCCACACGTCCTCAATCCCCCCTGTGTCCGATCTTGCAGCTCACAGCTGTGAGATGTGAAAAGCCAAGTGAGTTTTCCAGAGTTTAACAAACATGATTGGTGAATCTAAGGTGATCTCCCTGGTTAATAGCTCAGCAGTTTTGCAACAGCCAGAGTTACAGTGTCTCCTCACTGCTTCCATCCTCTGAACATCACTTCACTCAATGCACGGTAATTTAAGTTAATTGGTTAAACAAACGCCTGGTCAGAAATCAAGACAGTTCTGCTAATGGGCTTGGATACACCACACCTTGCTTTGTTTCCTTTTTTTAGCTGAGGTTGCAACATGAAGGGCTGAGGACATTCAGGTTTTCCCCATCGTGGTTCCCTATATTACAGAATTTCTGTGGCTGTGGCATTTTCAACATAATTCTTCTCCACAGCCTGCACGAGGCTACGCACACACATCTTAGCAACACATTTACTCCCTCTCCTCAGTTAGTAGTTGTTGTGTTTTATGAGGACAGCTACAGTAATTCCAGTCCGTCGGCTGCCACACTTAACTGCGTAGATCAGGGCTGTGCAGAGAGCTGAACTGTATTGATACAAGCTACTGTTGTCCATGTTTTTATTGCACAGGGAGAATCTGTACACCTTGCCAGCAGGGCTGGGAGCTCTTCAACTTTAAGTGTTATTTATTTTCTACATACAAGTTGTCCTGGAATGAGAGTCGCAATCTCTGCAGATTAACGGAAAGTGACCTGGTGATTGTAGAGAGCAGGAAGGAACAGGTAAGAATCTGTGCCTCTTAACTGGAGAGAGAGGTAAGAGACTAAGTCAGGACATGGAGACAGGATAAGACTGAGACAAGCAAGATGGAAAGAAAGACGGAAGAGATTGTGATTGGAGCTGTAACAATATCTGCTCATCACCAAACATCAACATCGTCATTGTATGTCATAGTAACTTGTCCAAATTGTTTACTCAACATTGCTACATTACTACAACCAGTCATTGCAACAACACCAATAATTTGTCAAGCTGATATTCTTTATAGTATTTCATCATTTGAGACATTTTATGTTTATAGTCAGAATACAGATGTGGATTGTTTTGTGTTCAGGAATTTCTAATCAGCAATCTTAAAAAAGACAATTACTGGATTGGCCTGACTGATACAGCTGAAGAGGGGACCTTCCTGTGGGTTGATGGCAGTAGAGACACTAGAGGGTAAGAGCTGTGGAAGACTACACTACTGAACTGCACCTCGGTTGATTGGGATTCATACAGTATAACACACTGACCGCACTGTAACAGAGTGAAAGAGGAGCCCAGTCATCTACCCTAGAAATGAAGAAAACCACAGATTACAGAGGGAGTGAAATACAGTTCCAGTGTGAGAGAGGAGTCCAGCACTAACCTAAACCCTCACTAAACATATTGTATATGCACCCAAGCTGACCACACAATTACAGCAAGTAAAATACAGTCAAAGAGGGAGAGAAGACTGACCTATACTCAGACTGAATGTACTGTATATACAGTACACTCACACTTACCACAATTACAGAGAGAGAATTAACAGAGTAGTAACAGAGACAGGTGGCAGACTTGTGCTCTGATTGAATGGCCTGTACAGTATACTGTACCTGCATATATTGACAGAGAAGGATTGTGAGGCAAGTGTAGCTTTCCCAAGATGTTCAGCACATAATCCCTTACCTGTTTTTAATTCATGCAAAAGAGTGACTGGACAGTACTCTTACACCTACACAGTCTAACTGCACAATTATAGAGCAGAGAAATAAATTGTTCAAGCTGTGTCCCCAGATACCAGAACTACATTGACAGATTATGAATATTGTATAAAGGACTATGGTAATAATGCGAACTATATAAATGTATTATACTTAGATCCTTAAACTAATATCGTTATTAATTTGTTGAGCACAATTATTCCTGGAAAAGGTTAAAACATTATAGCTTATTATAAAGTATATACACTAATATAGTCAGAAGGAGCATGTCAAAACTGTTTATGAAGAAAGTGGGATACTGTTGAAACTACCACTACCAGCCATATACAGTTTGTACAATGTATTTTACAACTACATTAATATCGTTTCTGATGTTCAGAGATGTTATGTTCCGTTTATTTTTATGCTCAGCTTGCAAAATTTCCCTTTAGTTGTAAAATTCCATATTAAGCGGATTTAAACATGCACAGTACAGAGACTAAATGTAGCCATCATTTTTACTAACAACTAATGCACCACAAGTGCCACCTGTCGATCATCTTTGCCAGCGAATCACGTACTATGGCCGTCTGCACATGGAAACCGCATATTTTGAATGGCTACATCTGTACATTGCAGGAGGAGGAGCAGAAAACACATTTTTAGTAAGCAAAATGTACAAGTAAACAGGGATATCTAATAGTTAAAGACACATATTGTGCATGGCGAGTTTGTAAGGTGAGATATATCATCAGCAAGTGTCTTACAATGAATGCAATACGAAGAATTCAGTTGTGTCTCCGTAACAATTCTGTATTGTATTGATGTTGAAGCCATACTCCTCTGTTTTAGATTCTGGGACAGTGGACAGCCAAACGATCCCAATGGGAATCATGATTGTGTGGCCATCTATCCCAGATCCAGTTCTCTGAATGCCTGGAACGATATACCCTGTAGTGCATCCCGCAGTTGGATCTGTGAGGTTGATGCCGTCAGATTCACTCCTTAGACACTCCCTATCATTCTCTGCACTTACATGCTAATTCTGTGTTTGGCGTGTTTGTTTTGTTTCACTGTGATTTCATGTAATTGGATTACAAACATGTACAAGCTTTTTTTATAACAGGCTACACTTTGCAAAGAAGTTGCAGCTTCAAATAATGTGCCTTGCAAATGTATTCAACCAATTCCTTCATTTTGTGAAATTGCAAAATTATGTTGTGTACTGTATATACATTATTACACACTGATCATTTTAATCTTGAAACTCTTGAATGCTCAAACTGAAAACTTTCTGGGTGAAGTTGTTAAATGCCAGCAAAGGTATTCACCCCTTTTGCTGTGAAAAACGTCCATTAGCTTAGGTGTTCAAAATAACTGTTTAAAATGTTTTAAAATGAAGACATAGAAATAAAGAATTCAATTTAATACATTTACTGCATTCATAGTGCCAAGTCATTTAACGGTATTGAAAGAAATGTTTTCAACAATTACAAAAGTTTAACATAGAGGTCCATTCAACACATGCTAAATGTGTTCAACTTTACTTGATTATATTGTCTTACACCTAAGTTACAGCTACACATTTTTCATGGCAAAAGTATATCACAAATCATTTCTGTTTTGTATTCATAATTCTCAAGAGAAACCTATGAACCTCTCCTAGCTTGCAGTTACACATTCTACATGTATTGTTTGTCTGCATCATCTGCTAGGTGTTTGTCCAGACTACTTATTTTTGAAGTTATGTTGTTCAAGCCCATACCCTGGCTTCTTTCCAGAAAGATCATTGGGTTATTTAGTTACTAGAGATGAAACAAATTACATGAGCTGAATGGCATGATTTTGTATTCTTACCTTCATATGTAAAGTAGTCGGTAAAAAGTTCTATATGGTGTGGCCGAGTCTGCCATCTAGTGGGGAAGAAAGGAAACATATTCACTGGGAGTCCCTCATGGTCAAAGGTGATCGTCTTCCATGATAAGACCAATAAGTGATGAGTGCTCTCTGAATCTCTGAGGTTCGGCAGGTATTTGTCTAAGGACATAATCAGATCACATATTGCACTATCCGGTCACAGTGAGCTCTCCTCAAGGTTTCATTTCCTTGAGAGCTAGATCACCCTGCAACTCTCAGCTGACAGCCTACTGGAGCTCAGCTGACAGCCTACTGGAGCTCAGCAGGTGTGAGCCTGGCCAGTACCTGGATGAGAGACCTTCTGCGAAAAACTAAGGTGGCTGTTGGAAGAGGTGTTAGTGGGACCAGAAAAAAGCACTCGCCCTGTGGATGGTGTGGATTTGAATGCACTATACTGTCCCTCAGATGAGTCATAAAATTGAATGGTCATTAAAAATCCCAGGACGTTAATCGGAAAGAGTAAGGGTGTTAAATCCAGTGTCCTGGCCAAATTTCCCACTGGCCTTTTCCAGTCATGGTTTCCTAGTAATCCCCATCTCTGAACTGGCTTCATCACTCCGTTCTCCTCTCCACTGAGAGCTGGTGTGTGGTGTGTAGAGAGCGTACTGGCACACTTAGGCCTCTGTTGCATCATCCAGATAGGGAGTACACGTTGGTGGTGGTGGATGGGAGTCCCCATTGTCTGTTGAGTGCTTTGAGAGGTAAGTGTAAGGAATTATTAGTATTATGATTAGTATTAGTAATAATATTATTTAAAATCTGAGAACAAAGTGCTAACGTAGTGCTAAGTTCTTTCCTAATCATGCTTTGTCCATCTGGTTCAGTCAAGAGCCTTAAATCTCCCAGGTGATTATATATTTAGGGTGCTTCTCCTGGCCTCTTTCTGGGCTGATGCCTTGGCTGGCGTGGGAGAAAAGAACCTTCTAATGGGAGTTTGGAGTCTGACAATTAGACCGAGCCAACAGAGCTTTTTGTGAGATGTTAGAATGTTTAAGAATGCACACAATGGTGGCACTCCAGAAATGTTCTTTGGATCACTGTCGAGCTCTGGCCTTTGATATTTGCTTAGAGTCATGGAAACAATTCACAGGGCTGCCTGCAGGCTTCAAGACCAATTCGAAGAGACCACGATAGTGAAACACAGATGTCCAGGACACACAGCTATTGCATAACGAAAGTCTCAGGTCTACAGTTCCTTTCTTCAGTTCAAGGAAGGCGAAAAGTAATTAGAATAGTACTTTCAACTGACCTGCCACTAGAGGGCATGCAGACTTCTATTTCCTGCACATAGATTAAAAAATGGTGCAGTCATTAATTGGATAACTGGGGAAAGGCTGAAAGTCACATTTTCACACAGGTTTAATTTATACCAAGTTTGATGTATAAAGAGATCCACAGTGATAGTTGCTTATTGGGTTGTGTAGAGTAGGTCTGGTTTGGAGGATCTTCAAGAACTTTTTTTTTAAGTAGGTCTCCTTGCACAGTATTTCTATTTTCCATCCGGTTTTCTGTGAACTCTGGCCTCATGAGCCACCTGCTGAGAGGCAGGCCTTACGCAGACTCATATTGGCGACAGTGAAAACCTAGATTGTCAGAGCCTGGAGGGAGGAAAGCTCAAGACCATGACACTGAAGTGTAGCTATTTGACTGCTCAAGCTAATTTCTAATAGCTGGGGTGTCAAGGATTATATGCAGGTTTTGGGTGCTTATTGGTGATCATGGGAGCTGATCTGATTTGTCAAAGGAAGGAATGGACGTTTTCCAATCATTTCCCAGTTCTGAATTTTGTGAAAGAAGACCATTATCAATGTGGTTTTTCACAGCCGTATCCTGACTTACAGACGCCACCAGAAAAACTCCATAGTAACACACACAAACCCACACAAATATACTCACACAGCTTACACATTTCCTAACTTCCTGTGGCTCAAGGACAACTTCCTCTTTAGCCATTGACTTCAGAGTCGCCATCAGTAAGAGCTCACTGCAGCAACAGACATAGTTCAGTCTCGGGAGATGGACAGGGCAACTGATGGAAGATCACAGTCAGTGGTTTCAGAGGGAATTTATACTGGACTGGTCAACCCAGACAGGGATGTGTACAGTACTCTAGACAGAACGCCACACAGGAACCCAGGAGAGCAGAACACGGGTAAATACCCAAAAAAACGTTATCCTACTGTATATGATTAGAACCATCTTAAGCTCAGGAAGGATACGCTCATGGTTATTGTCCATGTGATATTGTACTACGTAATAAGTTGTTAATCTTAATGTGTCTTTTTTGTGTACTTTGTGATGTTATATTTGCATGTGAATGTTTTCTTGTTTTTTAAGTAATACAAAATTCTTAGAAAAGAAAAAAAAAGATATTCCAGGTGTTCAGGAGACTGCAACAGCACTAGGAAACAACACTAAAACATACCACAAATGTAAACCTGTATTATTGTTTACCAGGCAACATTTTCATTGATTGCTTGATTTAAAGGCTCTTCAGATTCTGTTCAGAGCCAACCCATTCATTTGAGATATGATCCACACAAAAAAGCAAGAGGTTTGGTAAATACCCTTTTTTCTGTGGATTTGAACACACAGTTGTGGACTTCTCCACACGGTTGAGCAGCGTGGAAAACTGTGCTGGATGTGTCAGTTCCGCGTGGCGCAATGTTGCGACAGTGCCCTGATGCCATGTGCTAAGCCGTGCGCAGACACAGGATACACTCTGGGCTGCAATCCAACGCTGTAGCAATGTGGCACTGTGCCGAATCAAAGAGGATGCGAGGCGTTTTTTGGCTTGGCTTAACTTTGAAACGCATGTAATTTCCAAAGAGGTGTGCTTCAATGCGGAGAAGTCAGTTGACGGAAGCTTTTCTTCTCCTAATGCTGTATCAGCTGCACCTATTTGCCATGTATACCATCTTTCTTCCTCTACATCAGGGGTTCCCAGCCTGGGCTTTAAAGCAATGTTTGTTTTTGGAAGGGAGAGGTACACGATGGAACCAGCATTACAAAATGATTTAGGGAACCTATCTTTAATTAAAGATTAGGGATGTACTGCATACTTTAACACTGCATTCTCTGTATCTCACTACTTTCATTAATGGTAAGTAAGGATGAAACATTGCTTACCATCAATAATAGTTTAATGCAGCGAGCAAAACATTTCTTCACATTGCGTCACTGGAAACTAAGGTTCTTACAATCTCTGTGAGTATGAATGCATTTGATTTCTTGTTCTCCTGGTAGAGCTTATAGATCGATAGATACTTTATTGATCCCGTGAGGGAAATTGCAGTGCAACAGCAGCTTAACACAGACAACACAGCCACGGTGTAACGAATGATACAATAATAATAATAGTACAATACATACAATACAATCAGTACAGTGAGGGGAGCACTAAAAGAGTTACTCACAGTCTGGACACACAAAGAACAAACTAGAACAGAACAGTACGCAGAAAAATCGCATCACACATATGAATATAAATATAGATGTAAATATAGATATAAATGTATTGCACGGGTCCCTGGCATATATCTTATCTTCTATATATAATTTGTTTCATATGTTAGCTAATTTTCACAGAGAGACAGAGGAAAAAAGGGAAGAGAAAGAAAGGAAAGACAATGAAAAGAGTGGGATTATGGGCAGATACCCTTGTGCAGAGTGTGTGGAAGGGCAGTAGCCCTTCTGTGTTTTCAGACATTAAAACATATGGTCTTTTTTTTCCCACTAGTGGCCATGAAAAAGATCCCGGGCCCTGTGTCCACAGTGAGAGCAGAGCCCAGCCCAGCGCCTTGCAGACCGGCCACCGTGTGCCTGGGGCTGTTATGTGCTGTCTTACTGACCATCATCATCGTCCTGCGCGTCTACTGTGAGTATAACATACCATCAGACTGTGTGTAAGTTTGTCCACCTCTCTATGTGTCAACGATATGCATGTTTCTTTGCATCGGTATACAAAAATCCTCAACTGGTTTGGTGTGTGATTGTGTACAGTGAGGTGATAAATGGGCAGGTGACCAGGTTATAAAAAACGCTGGTGCTATGCAGATGCTATGTGCAGAACTGGCAGAATAAGTCCTAATTCCTTGTATTTAGTATCCTTTGGGATGAAAAACACCAATGACAGTGCACCAAACACAGGCGAGGACCTACTTCCACCAGTTGGTTGACCCATGGCAGTCATTCTGCAACAGTGGCCCCTTAATTGAAGACAACAGAGAAACTGCTTCACCAATTGAATCAAGGGAGATCTTTATGGAGTCCAGATTGTGAAAATGAGTGTTGTTTAGCCAGTACACTAGACCTAACATCCCTCCAAACACTGCAATAGGATCTTTATTGATGAAGTAATCAGGTGTTCAGTTTAATGTCTCAACTGATGATGATCACACATCCTAAGGTACTGGGACACTGGTCAGGTGTTGGACCATAGTATAGGTCTCGCATCGCAGTAGTGATGAGGCCCATCCTTGCTGAAAATCTGTGAGTTCAGGGTTCGAGGCTATAATTCAGCTTCCTCCCTCCGTTTTCTAAACAACTGATCTAATACAAGCTCACAGGGCAGGAGGGTCATATCCCTGCAAGCAACAGGAGCAAGGAGGGATACAACTTGAAAAGGATGCCAGTCCATCGCCGGGCAAACACAGACATGAACACACACTCGCATCCGGGTCCATTTTCCCAGAAAGCAATTAATCAAGGCTTTGGATTGTGGGAGGAAACTGGAGCACCCGGAATAAACATACACAAACTTGGGGAGAAAATACAGACTCCTCCCTGACAGCACCCCAAGAATCGGACCCCAGGCCCCAAAGTTGCATGGCAGCAATGCTAACCACTGCGCCACGATGATGCCTGCTGTTACGGCGCTGCTGAATCACGCATGGTGTTATCCTTTGCCACACATGGTAGAATTATGTGAGTTATCGGAATCGCACCCCATGCCTGGCAAAGAACATGTGATATATGACACGGCCTGGGTGTTTGTGTGTGTGCGCAAGTGTCTCTCAGTAAAGCAAAGAATCCTCCCGTCCACAGATAACACAGGCTCTCGCCGTGCCAGTGAAGCAAATCTCCGCCTGTCCCTCCTGACGGATGAACTGGATCAGCTCCAAGTGAACCACAGCACCCTGACCGCTATCTACAACAAGTTACAGAGCGAGAAAGAGGCCCTGGAATCCCAAATAAGTGAGCTGGGCAGGAAACACTTCACACTTGTAGTAGTAACAACTCTGTCGCACCACAGTGACCACCGGACGACTCTCTGTTCACTCAAAGCATTATTTTCCTTGGTTTCAGCCTCCCACGGAGAAATCACAGAGTCTGATTGTGGAAAGCTGAACTGGAGACAGCAGTACAGAGAAGAGATGATAGTTTGCTGCAGAGAGCTCTACTGATGTGGCCACTGTCCTTATCTGTGTCTCCACTGTAGAGAGAGTCTGTAAACCCTGTCAACCAGGCTGGGTGCTCTTCAACTTCAAGTGTTACTACTTCTCCAAAGCTTCACAGACCTGGGCCGACAGCCGTGCTGACTGCCAAAACCGGGGAGCAGACCTAGTGATTATAGAGAGTGCGGAGGAGCAGGTAAGGTATAACATTATTGAAGAGGAGGTGGGAGAAACTGCAGGAGAATGGGGTGAAGAAGGCTTGGAGAGTAATGAGGACGGAGAGACAGAGACATTGATCATTTTCCCCCTGTATGTACTACTGTACATCAGGGATTCCCAGTCCTGGACGTCATGGAGACCCCAACATGTTGGTTGTTCCATCTCAGCGCTCAATCAAATAACCCCATTAATCAACAAATATCCAATATGGAACATTGAATGCAGTAAACCACTACTGTCTCTAGAGGGCAGCAGTATCACACTGCACACTGATTTCAGCCACTCCTCCTTTAGCCATTCAGTACAATTGCATATGTGAAACTCTACTTCTTCTTAAACAAAAACAAGTCACCAAAGGTATACATTTATTGATCTGACACAGAGAGTCTAAAGGTGTGTAATTCTGCATCTTGTGTCCAGAACTTCACGAACGTAAAGACGATGGGCGAGATTTCCTGGATTGGCCTGACCGATACAGCAGAAAAGGGGACCTTCCTGTGGGTGGATGGCAGTAGAGAGTCTGGCGGGTAAGAGTTATTGTAATAACTGGTCCAAGCTCAATGAGCAGTAGATTAATATGCACAGGGCACACACAAGGGTCTGTCTATCATTTCCTAGTCTTTAACTATAGATGGTATTAATTAGCAGAAGCTGGGATTGTGCAGTGCATCAGTGTGTGCAGGATGTTTCCTGTGTCTTGGTGTTGTGGGGGACACTTACTGTTCTATGAGAAGGCTACGGTGCTCTGTTTTGGTAAAGGTCTGCAAAAATTGGTTTCCTTGTACCCTTACCTCCTCCAGTTTGGGAAAACAGTTCCGCTTCCTCCAGAGCCTATCACCTTACAACTCACCACTGGCAGCCCACTGAAGCTCAGCAGGTGTGAGCCTGGCCAGTACTTGGATTGGATAGCTAAAGTGGCTGCTGGAATAGGTGTTATTGGGACCAGTAGGGGGCACTCACTCTGCAGTCTGTGTGGCTCCTAACGCCCTAGTCTAGTTTCGGGGACACTATTCTGTAAACCGGCACTGTCTTCTGGATGAGACGTATAATCGAGGTTGTGATTTAAGTCTCGGAGCATTTCTTGGAAAGAGTAGGAGTGTTACCCCTGGCCAAATTTTCCTCTGACCTTTATCAATCATAGCCTCCTAATAATCCCCAAATTTGAACTGGCTTCATCACTGTGTTCTCCTCCCCACTGAGAGCCTGTGTATGGTGACTTCGGCTGCTGTTGCATCATCCAGCTATGGCTACACATTGGTGGTGGTGGAAAGGAGTCCTCATGACCTGTAAAGTGTTTTGAGTTGAGAATTGTAGGGTTGTATGGCTCCTGGCGTGTAGTATAAATGTTAGAGGAGTTTTTGTTTGGAGATGCTAACAGGTTCTGTGGCTCTGTGGCTTTTTTCCATTGTGAGGAGTTCAGACTAGGTCATGTACATGCTGAAGAAATTTTGTTCTGCATGCTGAACAAACAGACTGTGTGGGCTGTGTTCTCCTCTGTACATGTGGAAGAACCGAGTAAAGAATTGTTCTGCAATGCTGACAGACCATGTGGCTGTGTTTATAGTGAGGTTACATTGGTCTGTTTCAGGTACTGGAGGAATAATAAGATGGAGAAACTGAACAGAAACGGGAACTGTGTGGCTGCCTATCC